GTCAAATGTATCAAACACTTACTCTTCTGAAAGATTAGGCAAAACGCTTGAAGATACCCTCAGCACAGTCCTTGATGGGTGTGTGCGTGTGTGTGTGTGTGTGTGTGTGTGTGTATATATATATTTTTTTTTTTGTACCTGGGATTGAATTTGGGTCCTTGCACTTGCAAGGCAAGCCACCAAACTGCTGAGCTAAATCCCCGGCCCTGATGGGTATATTTTTATTCTGAGGTAAGGTCTAAGTGCTTTAGTTGTCCTTCATCTTGCTCCTGTATCAACCTCCCAAGTGGCTGTGATTACAGATGTGTACCACTGCAGCTGGCTAAAAATGGACTTTCAAAAAAAGAAAATTACTCAGACATGGAAATAAGTTTTTTGCTTTTCCCCAAGGAATACAGCATGAAATCAAATCTAGAAGGAGCCACAGCTATGTGAAATTCTGGCTATGTATCAGGATCAGCAGTAGAGCTCTGAACATACAAATACAGATGCCCAAAAACCTCACACTGAGATTACGACTGTAGGTGCTGGCCACGGCTTATGTTTTTCTTAAAGTAAAATGCCACCTTCACCCACATGCTTCTGATATTAGGCAATATCAGCAAAACACTCCTGATTTGTGATGGGACGACCATGTCCACATCAGGGGCTGGTACCAGTACTTACTTATTTAATCTACAGTATGCAGTGCAAGGCTTGTCTTATTCATGTTTTTCAGATATTGAACTGAGCTCAGATAAGGCAAATGACTCGGCTAAAGTCACACAACCAGGAAACTTTTCATTCACATTGATCCAAACTTTCATTTTTCTGGCTCCAGAATCTTGTGGTCTTTCCTCTACACAACAATCCTTTGCAAAATTAGCCAGAAGGAGCTGCCTGAAAGATTTTCTAGCTCATAATATCCATTTTTTGGACAAAGAAAGCAATGTCAGGGCAGGAATAATAATAACCTGCTTACAGGAATTTGGCAGCTTAAAGACAGTTCGAGAGTTCACTGGGTACAGGAAGGGCATAGGTAGTGGCACTGCCTACACATAATCCTTTGTAAAAAGTGAAGTCTTGCTATGGGAAAGATTCCATGTGTTTAGCAAATAAAAAGAAACACTGCTAAGCAGTCATCACCCAGTGTAATTTATCACCCACCTAAAGAAGCCTCTAGGCTGACGTTGGTGTCAGATGACAGGATTTCCTAAGGAAAGCACTTTGTTATAGAAAGTGGAAAGTACTCTTGGACCAGCAGGGGGAAGAGGAAAGGACACAGGAAGAGAGGTGCCCCAGCAGACCTGAGGGCTGGGCCCGGGGCAAGGAAGAGTGTGTGCAGGGCTCCGTGAACCAGTCCACTGGCCCAGCAGGTCCGTGCTCCACCAGGAAATTGTGCAACTCAGAAGCTCACAAAAGATACTGCAACCGCTGCTTGATTCCATGTTGGAGGAAACAGAAGGGATGGACTGAAAATACCAAAAAGGATAACATACCAGATCTTGACAGGAACAAACGTCAAAAATGAGCTTAGGGATTAAGAATTAAAACAGGCACCGAACAGTCAGTATGTCCCCAAAGTAGCAAAGACCTGTTTTATAAAGCACAGAATACCTCATCCTCGTAATATGAGCTCCTGAGACTCTTGAACAGTGTGGATTTAATGAGTTTATCAATCCGCTTAGCAGCAGTCACAATGGAAATGAGATTCAATAGAGAAATCAGTGGTCATTTACTTTTTCATTTAACTGCATTACTGTTATTGTTGTTTTATCAGACCCCTCGTTATGCCCCCCACCATACAGGAGGCATAATTATATGTCAGCCTTGATTCAAATAACTAATGCATGACAAAAACAAATTTATTTACATGCTTTCCAGAAAGATGAATAGTAGCTTGTGCTAGCCTGCCAACTACAGATGTACAAACTTTCTGTCCCATACATAAATCAAACACAAGGCATATGGCAGATTTTAAAAGAATGCTGATGTTATAGTGATTTTAAATTACTCAGGTCCTGAAATAAGCCATGTAGATGTTGACTAATGAGGCAATAGATTCTGAATCTTTCCACATGAATGTTATTAAAAGTGATAGCATTAACAGAAACAAGGTCTTGGAAATTAAGAAGAGAAAACAGACATAGTTAAAATCAAGGGGTATAATAAGTTGTTTGTCACTTTAGGCAAATTCATTACGGCAAGATTCTAGTAAGTTTCAGCTTGTAGACTGTGATAAGATTTTCTGGTCCGTAACAAGGTCTTGGAAATTAAGAAGAGAAAACAGACATAGTTAAAATCAAGGGGTATAATAAGTTTGTCACTTTAGGCAAATTCATTACGGCAAGATTCTAGTAAGTTTCAGTTTGTAGACTGTGATAAGATTTTCTGGTCCTCTTAGAAATGAATGTAAGCTGGACATTGTGGCACATGTCTGAAATCCCAGATACTCAGGAGGCTGCAGCAGGAGGATCACAAACTCAAGGCTGGCACGGATGTCTTAGTTACTTTCTTGCTGCCAGGACATAGTACCTGACACCCACGGTCTAAGGAAGGAAAAGTTTATTGTGGTGCACAGTCTGTGGAGGTTTCGGTCCATGGGTCAGCTGGCTTTAAGGAAAGGTGCGTGGCAGAGAAGAAACAGCTTATGCCATGACAGTGAAGCAGGGTGAGGGATCAAGGAAGGAGGAGGGAGAGGGACCCTTCCAGGCCACACTCACGGTGACCACCTCCCCCAAGCAGGCTCACCACCCAACATCACATCTAGCTACACACCAGGCAGTGGATCACACTCCCATGGACCAAGCACCTCCCCTAAGGCCCACTTGAGGGCATGAGGTTTTGGGGGGACATCTAGATATGAACCCTAACATTGGGTCACTCAGTGAGATGAAAATCAAAAAGGGCTGAGGATACAGTTCAGAGGTAGAGAGGCCCTAAGCTGATCTCCCAGTACTGCAAGTAAGTAAATAAATAAATAGGTAAAACAATGAATTGACTGAGACAAAAAAACCTAATGTATCACATAGGCAACAGAACTGAAGGCGAGGGCACAGCACAGTGGCCTGTGACTAGCAAACGAGCAATGGGCAAAATGGAAATGTGCCTGATGTGCCAAGAACTACTGAAAAGTTTCCAGGTTGTTGGCCACAGAAATGAACAATTATGCAAAATCAGTGCTGTCCAGAGTTAGGTAGGCAGATTACTGAATGGAAACCACAGAAGCAGGGCAAATTCTTAGTCCTCCTGGAGACTGGCACCCTCTGAAGCTCCAGAGAAATGATAAAAACTAGATAAAAGGTGTGTGTAGGCAGGATTGTGCCTGGTAAATCACTATCTGTCTGAAACAGGCAAATGTCATTACCGCCCTCATCAACTTTATGCTCAAGTTATTTCCTCCTACAAGTGGCCACTATTTATGAACCAAAGGTCAGGGAACCAAGTGGTCCAGGTACACGAAGAGACTATAAAATTGTAACGGAACATTTTAAAAATAAAATCTGCACAATGGCTTCTACAACTGCTCAAGCAAGGATGGCTGAGCACCCGATTCATGTTCGCTGTTGTTCTGTATTTTGGATTTCTTTCCAATGACCCCAATCATTTTTATCATACAACATGCAGCTTCATGGGAGTGGGGTGGGCTGCTGTGACATGAATGGGTTCCTTCACTGCAACGCAACCAAGAGGAAGTAAAAGTCTTGTTCTTCATCTCTTTGTGGATGGCACAAATATGCTATGCAAGAAAGGAATCATTTTGGCAAAGGTAGGGGAACAACCAGTCCGAGGCCCACTGTGTGCAGCGGTCAGTCGAGGCTAGTCCCAAATATGTACCCCAGGCAGACACTTCAGTGCTGTAAAGAAGGACATTTCTCCGTGTGAGCTTTTGGGAGGGCTTGTGGAGCAAGTGGTTGGGTGGGGGCAGGCAGGAAGAAGCTTAACATATTTGTTCCCACTGCCCCGCACTATAGCAGTACTCGTGGACTGACCCACCAGGGAGCTTGTACCCCTCAATGGGACAGTCATGCATGTACCACCAGGGCTTCAAGCTGCCTGGCAGCGAGACTACGAATCACAGCCCTGTCACTAATGTGTCACTCTCTCAAGCAGAATACTCGAATAGTAGAAAACTTCAGGATAGCCCAGCTCTGGAGAGCCTCTTCCATTTCATCACATGGAAAGCTGAGGTAGACTTGTTCTACCACTTATTAATAATCACTTGCAGAATCATTCATTTAAGGATACCTGAAAGGAGGCAGGCATTTTAAATGCTGCCAACAATAGGGGTCAGTATGTAGACATGAGCCCTGGCTTTATGGAGCTTTGATTCAGTGAAAAGAAAAATAAAGAAAAACAAATGATACGCAGAATAATGCCTTGTGATACTAATTTGATTGTGATAAATGCTATCATAATGAATGATGTGCAAGAAATTTTGTGGAAGTGTCACGGGTGGGACTAATATAGATGAATCATCAGAGAAACCTTTCCTCAAGATGAGACCTCAATGTAACTGAGCCAGTGGAAAAAAGAACCAAAAAATAGGATATGGCAGGGAAAGGGAGCAAGAAGTGCAAGGGCCCTGAGGCAGAAAAGGGCCTGAAACATCATGAAAATAATTTTTTTAAAAAGCCAGAGTGACTAAAACAGTGACAAAAGGAAGGAGTGTGAGACGAGGCGGGGCTATGTGCCACATCCTGTGACTTGTGCCAGCAAGTCTCAGGTCCCTTACAGGAAAAAGATTTTTAAATCTTAGTTTTTCAAAGACATACTCTGACTATGCCTTAAAATATGACTCTCATGGCAAATGTGTGACACGGTGCATAAACCATTGGTGTGTTTTAAAGAACGAGCATCTAGGGCAATCAAAAGGCATCTGGAAAGTATTTCTAACATTTAATTAAAAACAGCTGTAAAGGAACAGACTGAAAAAAAACCCAAAAAACAATCACCCAAGACCAGCAAGCTAAGCAACAGATTTGGGATCAAACAGCAAAGAGCAAAAGGAGACCTCGTACCTCCTCGCTGCACCAGCAGTGTGACCTCGCTTCCCTTCGGACACTGGATCAGCAGGTCCACGACCTGGTTGTGAGCAAGAGCCTGCACACTCTTCTTGTTAACCTCCACGATGAGGTCCCCCTCCTTCAGGCCTCGGCACCTGGGACTGTCGACGATCTGCTTCACCCTCTGGCCACCACCACCAGGACTGTCCGCGATGGTGAAGCCAAAGCCCATCGGCCCTTTGACTATGTGAACAGTGATGAGTTCCGGCTGAGTGGCTATTGAGGAAGCCAGGGAGACAGTGTCATTGGGGTAACCGTGGGGACTGTTGGAAGCCACATCTGCAGGGCTGCTGGGCCTGGCATCCTTCAGGCTGCTGACTTTGCCTGTTTTACTACTGTGGCTTGCCGGAGAATCATAGGTCTCTTGTCCATTCACAATAATTGGTTCTTTGTCCAAGATGGCTACCGAGGTCACTAAACTTGTGTTGGGGTCATCTGGGTCAAAAGGCAATGGGTAACCTCGGCAGAGCTCAAGGTCTACGCTGGCACCGATGGGAATGGACTGGAAGATTTTCACAACTTGGGCGTGTGTGTGTCCTAAAACACAGGTGTCATTCACGCTGACAATTACATCCCCTGTAAAAGGTAAGAGTTTGAGGGTCAAAACACGTAGCATCCAGAAGTATTGTGTCAATATGTAACATTCTGCTGAAGTTCAGAACATGCAACTCCACAATGTGCCACTGTGGCATAAGGATTATTTTGACCTAAAGAAAATAGCAGGAGTAAGAAAGGCACTCAAACTGTTCTCTTTTCCTTCCTGAAAGTAAGAGATGAAATTTCTTATGAAAGATGTCCTTCCTACACCCAAAAGCTCTTATTGTCAGAGATATGAAGTCAAGTGCAAGAGAAATACGTACACACCAACTTTGTGTATAGCCCTCAACTTCCTACTCTCTTTTCTATCCAATTGACCACTGTGTCCCAAACCTACTTTGTGTCCAACTTGGTAAGTATTCCACTCTAATAGCATTTATGGGCTTTCATTTCCACATGAGTGTCCCATGCCATATATAACTCATTAAATAAATCTGTATGCTTTTTTCCTACTAACTTGTCTTGTATAATTCTCAGGCCTAGCCAGAAATCCTATGAGGGAAGAAGCAAAATTTTGCCTCTTCTACATGGCAAACATGAAGCTGAACTGAAACAGGACTTGAGGGTGATATCATCAGGTATAAAGAGACTGAGCCTATTGCTTATTTTAACTGCTAACAAAGCATCCTTTTAGCATATAGTGTCTTTCCTGCTAACAAGAATAATCACTGAGAGAACACTGAAGGTTTCTTCCAAAAAGAAATTCTCATTGCAGAGATTCAAGTTTAGAATTCATTTATTGAAATGGATCTGCATTTTTAGTAAATTACTGTTTTACTGTATTCAAAAGCACCCTAACAACTTCCCAAAGTTAAAATGGTCTCCACGTTTTTCATCTGTACCCAGGGAAGAGTTTCTGTAATGGAGAAGTCTAGTTCCTTCCAAGGTGCATAAAGGGCATTTATAAACTCACAATGTTGCTTGGTCTTTTCCAGATATGGGTCGCAGTCTCAGTCTCACTGCACAGAACATGCTAAGGCCATGTGGACTCTACCTGTTTCCATCTTGCCGTCCAGTGCAGCAGGACCGTCTAAAACCAAGCTCTTGATCTGGAGGAACTCATCAGGTTCGTCCCCACCAACCACTGTGAAGCCAAAGCCACGACTGCTTTTCCGCAGCTTTGTGTGAATGAACTTGCCTTTCAGTTCAGAAGGGTTTCTCGTAAAAAAGGGTTTGCCTGAATTAAAACAAGAACAAAGAATATAACCATGAGTGAAAGGGTGAATTAAGGAAGATATGAGGCAACATAGTGGTAACTCTCTAAGCTTGCTGGCTTGGGGTCTTGCGGCACAGATGTGTCCCAACAAAGTCTTCCCTCTTGATTTCAAGGACAAGGGTGTTCACAGGCCCTCTGCTGAGAAGGTGGGTTGGGCACATACGTCCCAAAAGAAGATCAAGGGCAGAACAGAACTGGTCTCACTGGGTGACACACTTCCCTGGTTTTAGTTATCATCTGACAGTAATTGAGCTGCCCCAAAAAGCAGTCAGTCTTTATTTGTTCCTTTTGTTTTATTTTTTAATTTATTTCTATTTTGCAATATGGTTTCCTGTGTGGTGTTTTGGGCTTGACCAAGTGAGCAAAAACTTCAGTTTTAAATCAAAGAGAAAGCTCAGCCTGAAAACACACTGATAATACCAGGAAACACACAGAATGATTTGACAAAAACACAAAATCACTATTTTCAAAATTGAAGGTCATTACTTTGAAGAGAATTGTAAAGTCAACTGATTTTTCCCTATTTATTTGCACCTTTAAAATTGCTTTTTAAATAGTCAACCACTGTTAAGGTTCATTGTTTTAAAAAAGCTTAGGATTTTTGGCTTCTGATAAGACAAAACAAAGCAAAACAAATCTACAAGCCAAAATAGAACCCTTACACTAGACATATAAACTTACAAACAAGAGCCATACAGCCTCAAATTCAACTGGCATATTTAAAATAAAGTAAGAGATAGTTAAAAAAAATTCCAAACACAAAACCTAAATTTATTTTTATATGTTAATGATTAATATTTTAGATATAAATAAAAAGGTCTTACTTCGGGGTTTATAAGGTATTTCTCTGTAACTGAGGAACTCATAGCACTGCCTCTGTCCCAAGTAGTGAACAAACGTCCATGAGCAGACTCTCTTTTCTTCTGGCCTGCCCATTCTTCATCCTTCCTGTCTCTTTACTATCAAAAATGCTATCCCTCCCCAGAAAACTGAGAGAAGAAATCCCCATACACCCTGCACTACAAGACTGGCACCAGGAAGAAGTTATTTTTGGTTAGCTATAATTAAAAGGCCTTAAAAAGTCTCTGGGCATGCATACAATTTTTAATTGCATATTTTAAAAGTTTTGGGCTTACAGGAAGAAGGCTCTTTTAAATTGCATGCAGTCGAGGTCTGTTCACTACCCTCTCCAGTGAGCACTCTCAGGGCTCACTGGAGGTATGGCAAGCCACAGCCCTGCACCATGGCTAAAGAAAGACAAGACTCACAGGATCATGCAAAGCCATCTTCCAAGGTGCAAACAGGGGGATGCCACCTGCAGGGAGGGGCTAGGGAAAGAGAGGCTAAACCACCTATCTGGTGGAAGTGAGGACAGGAGAGGCACGGGAGGAGTTTGGGGAGCACAGAAGAAAACACATTTCAGCCAGGCAGAGACACTGGTGTCTGAGGCCTGCTCAGTAGGACCTTCCCAGATCATGGTTCCTCCTCCCATGCTTCCAAGTCCCCTCTCGTGCTTGCTGTTTATGCTCACCACTCACTTCTTTCTAACACAGTACACATTTTACTTACTGGCATGGTTTTATGTCCCATGGTCCCCTGTGCTCAGCGATGAGGCGCACTGGATGTGCACCTATGAAAAACCACTGGAATGTAAGAGTCATGAGGGCTGTTTGTATGTTTGTACACTCAGTGTTTGCTGTATTTTATATGCTCCAAAATTTTTTTAGTAAATGAGTAAATAAAAGCATTTAAAAAAATGAGATTCAACAGGTCTTTGAGAAGGCTGAAAGGAAGTGTTTGCATGTTGGAATTTTTCACTGATACTACAGGCCAAGTTAGAAAATGTAAAAAAGTGCCAGGCAGCTTATTGGAATTTTAAAAAGTCTATTAGCATATTTTGTGCTTAGAATGTTTTTAACTTGATAGAGACATGAGCAGAACTTTGAAATTACACCACTTCCTCTTCCCATTCCTAACTGAAGAGGGAAGATGAGAAGGTTTTACATTTATGCACTTTATTACATTTTATGTATGGGCAGCTCATTAGTTAATGCAGCTGCGGGAAGAAAGATTTTCTTACCCATAAGCAATGGAATTTGAAGGCTTCTGCTGCAGCTCTGTGGCAGGTGTAATTTCTGAGATTCTAACCTCTCTGGACTAGTCAGCAGTTATAAGAACTGGTTGTGTATGGAAATCACGGGGATAGCTTTTAAAATGTACTCATTTTAGTGTCTTCTCTAGACTCATCAAATTAGAGTTGAATCAGTCTTCCTTCCTTTGAGACTGTTTCCCTGCCACACCAAGCTATTCTTCAATCTGGTGTTCAGATGTTCCTGACCAGCGCTATCCACCAGCCAGGTCCCCCAGAGAAGGAGATGCACCATGGTCTTCACTGTCCAGTATGGCACCCAGAAGTCTGTCCAGCTATGGTGTCCTGGAAATGTGGCCAGGACAGAGGAACTAATTTTTCGAAATTGTAATTAATTTAAATTCAAATGGTAATACGTCGTAACCAATGGCATCTACACAGAGTCCTATCTGAGACACAAATGATGCTGAGAAACTGATCCCGATAGTAACCCAGTCATAAACACTGAGGCTAAAATGATGTTCGCAGATAAATGCCATCTAGATTCTTAATTGGTGCTCTATTTGGTGCCCAGAACCTGAAATTTGATCTTTTTTTAACCTTTATGACAAATTTTTAAAGGAGACTACTAACTACCAAATGCATGTGTGGATGGATGTATATGTACACACACACACACACGCGCACACACACACACACACACACACACACACACACACACACAGAGTTTCACTCCACAGTAATGTTAGCAGGAAGTATATGTTCAGTATTAAACCTGGGTTTGGGTTATCCTGCTGAAGGAAAAAAAAAAGGAAGAGGAAAGGGAAAATAATCCATAGTATTATGCCCGTGTGGGATTTACCCTAATAGAACACCAATGAACACTAATTGTAAGTGTTGATTTTTATAAATGAGAACCACACAGTGGTTGAGTGAACAGGATAGGGGACTCTATCGATGACCTGACATGAACAGGGCTGGTAAAGATGGGGCAGCATGCAAAAGTAAGTATGTTCTGCTTTTAGAGGCCATCATCACAATGAAAAAAGTACACTTATGTTGGAAGAAATCATTTTACATAAGTTGATATCAGTATGAGCCTGACAATATCAGCTAGCAGAGGAACAGTTTTGCTCTTTGAAAATTATAATAATCAAAAGGAGAAAAGAATTTTTCTTCTATATATCTTTTTATATGTCATAGTCACATCTTGTTTAAAATATAGAGAGGAAGATAAATTTTAGAGTATTGTTAATGGTTTAGCACCACAAATATTTTCTAGCTCAGCTCAACATGGTGCTTGTTCTGTGTTTCTTATTTAAAAGAAGTCTAGAACCTTTCTGATCACTGGAGAGTAATGAGGCCTGGGGTGGGGAGCGCAGGAGCCCCTAATATCCAGGAACATCCTCTGAGGGCACTTGAGCTACCTGTGAATGTGACACCAACCGAAGCACTAAAGCATGCAGAAATGCCAACAAAAGTGGCGAGGATCTGGGAAGAGAGCTTAAAACACAACATCATCAAAACATTTATGTTTACAAAAAAATCCTAGTCAAAAACAAATATGCTGACTAGAGTTTTGAAATATCTAATGCTGACATTTGAATTTATCTTATTAAACTAGTATTAAATACTTGTGGCCTCTAATTCAGTTACTGCAACTCTGGGAATGTTTTGCTCCCGAGGCATCTGGCCATGTCTAGGGACACTTCTGGCTGTCACCGGGTGGGAGGTGGGGGCAAAGCCTGTGCCCGACATCTAGCGGACAAGGTTGCGGCTAAGGTGCAGCAATGCGGGGGAAGACCCAGGAAGAATTACCCAGCCAAAAGGTCAACAGTGCTAAGGTGGAAAAAGTCTGGTTTCAACACTTACTTAACAAGTATCATTATTTTTAGGTTATCGCAATAATTGAAAATCTTATTCAGAAAGGATTGTAATTGTTTTGATGTCCCATTAACAATATATTTAAAACTGCCTTCACTTATGTCTTCACTGCCAAAGGAAAGATGGGAGGGGCAACGTTTAACTTTTTAACCACTTGCTGGTCCAATTATTTAAATACAGGAAGACCAAAAACTACATAGTTTTAAAGTTTTTGTAAGGTCATATAACAGGAAATATAAAAGCGATACTTTCATGAAATTTATTCAGCACAAGAGTCGACTGGCTGAAAGGACACCTGCCGGAGCGGAGCTCAGCACAGTCAGTACGGAAACAGTACGGAGTCAGCACGCTGCCTGCATGTGCTGGGGTTAAATGTGGGGTGGTTCAAGTATCTGCGAAGGTTTCCTGAGCTGAAATCAGGACGGAACAGTACAAACACCTTACCCTGAAGCGGAGCATCTCTGGCCGGCTCCGGATTGCTCGGGGGGTGGGTTGGAGTAACAGGAGGCACAAGGGATGAATGCTCTTCCGTCCATTCTACAAGGAAGAAGAGATACTTCAGTCTTCCCTTCAGCAGCTGGCCCACTGCCACACGATTCGCGTGGCCCCAAAGCTGGTGCCTGTCCTCACCTTACGTGAAGGATACCAATCTCTCTTTCTCCCGTCCATGATGTCTCAGGCAAGAAATGCAACATATCAGTACAAACTCTAGTTCTCTCTGGTCGGAAAGTCCAATTGCTTTCAAGTAAAGAAGTGTAACACAAAGGCAGCCTTCTAAGAGAGAACACTGCCGAAGGAAAGTGGAAAGAGGCTGGATTGCAGAACCTGCCTGTCACGGGCAGTAGGTGGGAGGAAGGTGGATGCCAGCAGCTTGCCAAGGCACTAACTGTGTAGCCTCTGAAGCCCGAGGGGCACCCATCAGCAGGACTCCTACATCCTGGCACATCCAGGGCACTGTGGGGATTCAGAGGCAACCCGCAGGGAGCACACCTCGCGACGGACCGAGGTCCCTTTCTACTCAGCTGACAGATGAGGGGCACATGCCATGGTCCGTACCCTGCTTTCCCATACCAGTGAGCTTTACCACTTCAGGAAAAATGCATTTCAAAAGTTCTTTTTCAATAAAAAAGAGATCAGCAAAGAGAACATTCAACTGGCCTATATATACACTCTCAGGCAAAGGCGGGCAAACCACAGCCTACCAGCCAAACTGGTCCAACACCTGTTTGTGCACAGCCTGTGCGCCAGTAAGAGCTTTTACATCTTTAAATGGCTGAAAAAATGCAAGGACATTTGTGACACGTGAAAATAATATGAAGTGCAAATTACAGTGCCTTAAAAGTTTTACTGCTACGGAGATATTCCTGTTCATGTGCATTTTGTTTATAGGTACTTCCAAACTCCAGTGGCAGAGCTGAGCAGGGATGAGAGTGGCTGTATGTATCACAAAGCCTAAACTGCTTCCCATGAAAGGTCACCAGTCCAGTCTGAGGTCTGTATGTACAATGATTGAGGCAGTGCGTGTACTCAGCATGCATGAGGCCTAGGTTTCATCCCTAGCACTAAAACAATATGTAGTTATTTCATATTCATCTACTAATAGTTACATATTATCGAGGGGCTATTTTAAAACATCACAATTAAAAATATAGAAAATCTAAGTATTAATAAATGGATGTCTAAATAATGGTGGAAATATTCAATGATGTTATAAAGCTATTAAAATTATAAGGTAGATATACATTAATTTAAGCTGGTATGAGAAAAAAATAAGAACAAGTTAATGCACACACTGTATGTGTATATATTCATATGATTTCTGTTAACATATGCAATTTGTGTATTCCTTGAGATTTTCTGTAGAGTGTTTACCTCTGATAATGGGGGTATGAGTATTAGATATTTCAATGTTCTATACTCTTGAACTGTTATTTTTACAAAGAAGGTAAATTACCATGTAACGTTTTATTTTATTTATTTATTTTTGGTTTTGGTTTTTTTGAGACAGAGTCTCACTGCATAGTTGAGACTGACCTGGAATTCACTATGTAGCCCGGGCTGGTCTTGAACTCATAGCAATCCTCCTGCCTCAGCCTCCCAAGTGCTGGGATTACAGGCGTGTGCCACCACACCCGGCTAGTAACATTTTAAAAAGCACTTAAAATTACCAGCTCTTTCTGATGATTACATGTAATGTTCCTAATATTAAGTGTAAGTTTCATGCCCAGTAATTCTGCTTGAAGTAAAAAGGGGGGAAAGGAGTACGCTGTCAGGGCAAGAGAGTTCCTTTACCCTCAGAAAGATCTCCAGTCTAAAGATGCCCCTTTCTACATTGAGATGGAAAGTGGGATGTGGCTGCCTGAGAATTGGGATTCCCCTTTGGCTGTTAAGAGGGGTTATGGGGAGCAGGAATAGGGAGACTCTAGCAGCGTTATCTATTCTTTGCCTGGACAGCAACTTCCCTGTGTGGAGGATGCCTGGATCCTCAAGGCCAGCTCTGACCACACGGGGGTGTCAGTGTCCAGGCTTTGCCTAGCATTCTTAGCTCAGGTGTCCCCAGGGGAAGAGGCCAACCTTCTGGTGGTGGTGGTGGCTGCTGCTGCTGTTGCTGCTGCTGCTGCTGTTGCTGCTGCTGCTGCTGCTCAAGCTGCTTCTTTCGTTTGGCTTCAAGAACTGGGTTCTCATACTGTGTTTTCCTGTTGATGTGGCTGGGGAAGAAGGTAATCAGTTTTCCACAAGGAAACACAAACACACACACACACACACACACATACACACACACACACACACACGGCTTATCAGGCCATATCCTTTGACTAAAACAGAGCAATGCAGGTGGACTGATGTTGACTTAGTTGCGTCAAAAAGCACAGTTAAGAAAAGGAAATAAAGAAGTTACTGCCTATTTATATGCACCAACTACTGTACAATCATTTGTACACACATTTTTTGGGAAAATCCTTAGTAAAGCCCGGAGACAAGTCTTATTCTCACAGTAATACCACCTTATTCATGAGGGACACATTCCCATGGAATGTACATGGACCGTAAAAGCAGATAACACTGAGCTCTCTCTACATGTTTTCCCCTTATATATGGATCTATGGTAAAAGTTTAATTTATGAATAGGCATAGGAAGGGATTAACAGCAATAATTTACCTTAGACTTTAGCAATATCAGTATATGACTGTTGTTCTTCCTTATTGAGAATTTTCACTTAAAGGAAGCACACTATGGCTTCTCATTGACATATCCCAATTGCCAGCATTGGTACTCTTGAGCTTTGGGGCTGTAATTAAGTAACATAAATGAGGGTAACTGGAACACAGGCACTGCAATCCTGTGAGAGTCAATCTGGTAACCAAGAAGGCTAAAGTGAGGTTCACACAGCACAGATATCTGGGCACAGTAATCATTCTTCTCCTAAACTAGATGGAATGGGGAGTGGGCTGGAGATTTCATCTTGCTACTCAGAAGGGCACAGAAGTTAAAATTTATGCATTACCTATTTCTAGAATGTTTCACTTACTACTTCCAAATAATGCTTGCCCCTGGGCAGCAATCAGAGTAAAAACACAGATAGGGTGGCACTACTGATTTTGTGGATAAGGAAAGCAAACTTCTGCGTAGTTAGTAACTCACATCCCTGGGATGCAGTAAACAGTAAACAGGCATGCAAGCTCATGTCAGTCTGCTTTCAAATCTCAGGATTTTAACTACCGACTCCACCAGTGTGTCCGAGGTACCACATGAAAGTGCGGCTGCTTAAATGATACAAGAAGTAGATGATGGAATTACTGAAAAGTAAGGTTAAAGAGTACATGCGATGTCGTCAGTGACATACTATGTCACATGTGAACTTCCTACAGTAGGTCTTGCTGAAGCATAACCATTTGCCAAAGCAGCAAGGTTTTTTTTATCAAGAGCACCCTTCTAACATCTGTCAACTATTTGATCAATTGACAGGGAGACACGATTAAAAGGATAGCCCTCAGGCAAAGAGACTGTAAATGCTGCTCCCCTAAGCAGATGGGATAATGTTCAGATATTTTAGATGGTTATGTAACTGATAAAGCCATGGTAAACACATGCAACACACACACAGGTCTTATGTAGTGTATATACATGTGTAAGTATACATAAATGTAATGCACATATACTATACAAGCATCATACGAGCAAACACCTAGACCTTCAAAAACAAAGTTTAGTCACCTGTCAAAGCAGTCATCACCTGTCCTTTTCTTACAAACGCTAGTTTAGGGGAAATGTACAGTGAACCCTAAGTAGAAGAAAGCTTGCTGTGTATCTGTAAGAAAGATAATTTTCAGGGTTCACAAAGGAAGTTTATTTTAGGAGGGTCAGAGAAACAACCCCACTTGTTTCTCTGATGCCCCAAATTGCCAGTTCTTGTTAGGTAAAGAGGAGGCAATGCTCATACTGCCTAACGACACTTGCTATATTGAGCTCAATTTTTTTTAACAATCAGATAGTGGACATTTTATGGCCTGGCATTTCTGCATCATGTGTCATATCACAAAGACATTATACAAATGACTTTCAACATGGCAGCACGAGAGAAAGCAGGCCAGCTCTCTCCATCACAGCAGGAAGGACTATGATCAGACAGCATTGGTTTGCAAATGCAAGGCATTTGTGTTTTTCAAGTGACTTTTTAAAGCAGGTCTTCCTCCTGAAGATATCAGCTAGTCATCTGTTCTCCTGCATCCAGGCTTTTCTCAGTCATTTGTCCAATATAATGAGTATTAACTCATTATGTACCTGCCAAATGCCAGGACTGTATTTAGTCTTTACAAGACCGTGGCCAACGAGAGCCATGAATCCTGTCCTTAGTAAGGGTATTAATAACAGAATTTACCTTTGGATTCAATGAATATTTTCTTGTTCATTAAAGTATACAAACATTTTCATTTTAAAATTAATGTATTATTATTTACCTTGTATCTTATAACAATGACAAATTCTGCTTTGCATAAATGTACATAATTCAAGAGGGGCAGAAGCTAATGTGTGGGTTACTAACAGGCACTTACTCTACATAGTAGATACCATAGACAGGGTCTTCAATCTTTTCCCAACCAGCCGGCAGTTCTGAAAAATAAGAGAATGCTTAGAACAAGAAGAGAAGATTCTTGTCGAGCCTGGGACTGCCATCAACTGAGTTAGGTAAAAAAAGAAAGACTCATAAAAAATACCTTAAATCCAACTAAAACTGTGTCCTAACCAAAAGGAGTATGCATTATTTTTTTCAGTGCATTTTTCTACACGCACAGTGATTCTTTATCTAGTGATATTTTATTTCAGAAAATAAAACTTAATAAATGCAGTCTTAGCCCCCCTTATTCTTTATTATCAAATCAGATTTGAATAGAAAGTTAAAACTTGCCTTGAGTACCTAACTCCTGCCTTAACTATTTGCTGTTTTCTATTTTGTTTTCAAGCTACCTTATCACATAAGCAAAAATAGATGGAAATTAATGCTTTTCATTTTTCAATACAACTATGCTTGTTCTGTTTTCCTTGGAAAAAGATAAAATCTGCATCTTATTTTCTCCTTGTTCCCAAATAAAATGCTACTGTGTACATACAATGCCCAAGTAGAACTGGGTGTTAAAACTGCATACATCTATCACTTGGTGGCTGTATCTGCGCCGGTGCACCTTTCCCCTCACTTCTGCTGTGAAAGAGCAGCCCACGTCCTGCTGACGGTTCCCTATTGCAGGGGACAGGCTATCCCTTAACATGTGGGTCTGCAACACTAGCGGAGCCATGAGCTGCTGGACTTTACCTCGGGAGGGTTCAGATCGAAGGCTGGAATGAACTTTAGTAACTAGGTCAGAGTGACTTCCACCACAAGAATCTACTGGGGAGGGCCACTGTCAAGACAGTTTTGTGAAAGAAGTAAATATGTGTGTTCTGCGCCATTAAAACAACTCAGCAACAATTTCTCACCTTGATTTTAAAGCCACCTGGATCTATGTAAGTGAAAGCTTATATAATATTATACTCCAAATGAACCATTATTTCTAGAAGAAATTTCTACAACTGGCATTCTAAAAGTACTTGATATACACTTATTTTTAAACAGTTCTTTTTAAATTCAAGGAATCATGAGATGATTGTTTTTAAATGATGACTATGCCATGAGTGGAGGCCTCACACAGGCCACTATCGGTTCTGGACTGAGATGGAGGCTTGCACATGTGTGTGTGTAGATTACTCAAAGTTTATGTTTTGTTCAGATTTGGATGCACATCAAGAGATATTAATTTCATGGTTTTTGCTCCACATGTAACTTGTTTGCAAATAAAGAGACAGGTTTTCCCCACTTTTTCCTAATTGAAAAAAAAAAACCAAAGAGGTTTTAAGGAAGTCTTTGAATTCAGCAGGCATAAGTGAGTAAAAAGCCACACAGGTCCAAACTGCAGATGTTGATCCAACTTGGCATTTTTATACATGGAGTCTTGCAGACCAATGCAAATCAAACGCCTGGGAAATGGTTTTCCCTTACAAAGCTAGAAATTACCATTTAAATGAAAATGAACCAGAAAGTATTTCCAAAGAATTGGGAAATTGAAAATTTAAAAAATGCAAATTGTTGCAGAGTCACACATTTGTAAGGGGTGTGGGAAGCAGGTGAGAATAAGAAGCCACATTATAAGGAGCAGAGTCAGACCTCTTTCCCAAGTCTGCCACCTGAAATATTTGACTAGATGATCTTTAGATAAAATGGGGCAAATATTATACATTCAATTCACTGGATTACAATTTAGAAACAGTAACTGGGCACCTATTCTTTGCCCAAGATGTGTCAGACACTAGGGACATACAGACAAGTGCCAGTATAGTGGCTAAGCAGAAAATGCAGCAAGCAGCAAGTGCTGTGGAATGAAGCCACACCTAACTGCTGTGACTCAGTGACTTCACGTTCCGGAGCTCGGGTCAGTCAACAGCCATTTCTGGACATCTTTAAATTTAAACACTGTTCCTTTTCTTTTTTTTTTTTTTTTTTT